CCCCCCCCCCTTCCTTATCCTTAATCCTTCTTCCCTTCCTCATTTACCAAAACTGTTCCTTTTCTCTTTTTATTTAAATCCTTTGTACTTTCCCCTTGCCCTTCCCTCACTATGCATTCTAATCAAACAATTACCTTCTAGCCAGCTGGGTAACAGACAGCTCTTCTCCAAAACTTACTTAAGAGAAACTAAGATAGTGAATACCTGGATTTATTCTGATGCTCCTGCAGCTACTTAGTAGCTAAATATTGGAATCCAAGCACCTTATTTTCTCAAAGTCCCTACTCAATGACTTTTTCAGCATGCTGTAACAATTTGTCTACAAGCTAGGAAGCCTACGGCGGGGATACTAAAGAACAAAGTGCGTTGTCTGAAGGGCTGTCTTCTGTGCACAGGAGGGAGAGGCCTCATACCGGTTTTCACTGCAGGCTGTGTGGCAGGAGGGGCAGTGTTCACAGAAGCGGCCGATGCTCCTGGGGTCGGTGCACTCGCACCTGCCGCACACACAGGTGCCTCTTCCGCTGCACACCTGGCCCTTGGGATTGATGCAGTGCTGAGCCGATGCTGATGGGCACTGGCACCGATCTCCATCCCAGCCACTGAAGCATTGGCACTTGCCACCTTCACACTCGCCGTGCCCTGCAAAGAATCATACCAGGATCTACGTGACGGAGGCCACTGGCTTTGGCAAGTTTCCAAACCTGGATTCCCCTCCCATCTCCAGGGAAACACAGGAGCAGTCAAGCGAATGAAAACAGCGTTATTCCACATCTGTCTGACATGGTGCTGCCATTTAGGTGTGTCTGCTTCTAAAGCTGTTTCACTGCAGAGCATCGCCCTGTGCTAATATACTGTGCTAACAAGTGTGAAGGGAGCCGCTGCTTTGGTGGCTGTCAGACCACTTGAATGCCATTGTTTAATCGGTTTTAAATTAAAATACATAAATCTAAAGTGACAAAATCTGAAGTAATGAAAAAATAGGAATACTTGGTTAATGGCTTGTACGATATATGCGGCTACTGCGGTCTTGCTATTGCCAAGAGTTGTTGGTAACTTTGAAAAACCGCAGGATACACATGGCCCATGCTTCAGGGTGCTCAGGCTGGGTCTAGAGGTCAGGTCTCCTGAGAAGTCTGACCTATCATTCCACAGCTGAAGAGCATTGTTTCGCAAGTTGGCAAGGTAGCCCTAATCTAGGCTGTTAACTGGTTCCTGGAAGAGAAAAAGGCAGATGGTGTGTGTGTGTGTGTGTGTGTGTGTGTGTGTGTGTGTGTGTGTGTGTGTGGTGTCAGGGCAAGGTGGCAGTGATGAAGGGCATTTATGGATGAATATGATGAAGAAACACTCTTTGCATAATTAAGTGGGTTTTAGACTCAGTGACCTAAACTTAACATGCCAATATGAACTAGAAGTCTCCAAGAGGGAGTAAAATTTACAGGGCTATATAGTATGTCTTAAGCTTATTAGACTATGGAACAAACAACCTTTCCCCTCACTCCTCCTTTTCCTTTCTTTCCTTCTTTCTCTCCATCCTTTTCTTCACTCCTATCTTCTCTTAGTGCTGAGTATGTCATAGGTTAAGTGTCCCATAGAGTCTAATTTTGAATCAGCCCAACTGGATAAGTGTAAAACTAATGAGATTCAGGCCAAACAAATGTCCACCAGACCCTGATCCTTGTACAGCCTGAGCACCAGATCCTAACTAGTTGACCTGAGAACATGTGTTTATTCTCTCCATGTGTGTCAGCCCTGCAGTTTGCACTTGTGCACAAATAATCCAAGGCAGATTCCCAACCGCTCGTGGTTCAGTACTGCCAGGGTTGTATCAGAGGGTCAGTGCATTGAGTTTTGAGACTGAGATTCTCAAATGTGTTTGAGGCTTCTTTAAGAGACTGAAGCTAAAGGTAACAATCTCAGAAAAGTTCTTCTCTTTCCTGTAAAATAATATTTTCTTTCTCTGTAAAGTATAGCAGTCAACTGGTGGTTCATTCTCAAATCATTTTTTTAATCTAGCCTAGCCACAATATCAGGTACAGCTGAGTAAGTGTTTGAAATAGAATATATACATATTTTTTCCATTGTGTATTGAGGTAATACTGATCAAATTTTTAACTTAAACAGAATAGAAAACACTTTTAAGAAAATGTATTTAGTACAGGGTCTACAGGGTGTCACTACACAGATTGGACTTGTAGTGATCCTCCTGTTTTCAGCCTCCCTAGCTCTGGGATCACATGTGCGCGCCACCATGCCCAGTCTCAATCCCCAGCTCAGTGGTCCCTGGGGGTGGGGTCAACCTGGCACTCTGGGGATCAAAGCCCAAACTTTTTTTTTAATATGTTACTTTCCATACGTCTAGGACAATTATTTGTATGCATCAATAATTTCACAAACACTTATCTACTAAATTGCAAATACTAAAAAGATGTTTTCAGGATAAGTGAATTTTCTATACAGTTACAAAAGAAATACCACATAACTCAGACACCACATAGTTTAACTTATTTAAAAAACTACTTTGTTTTAACTTTCAAACAATCAGCAGATTTTTTTTTTTATTTAACCTCTAGGTAGCAGTAAACCTAATTAGCCACAAAGTAACCCTTATACTATTTTTATTTTCACTTATTTCACTTTAAAATTTGGTCTGTGTGTGGCCAGAGGCACTCCTCTTCTAGATTACTTAGTAATCCAGTATTTTCTTGAAGAACGCTGTCCTCTGGCTATTCTGTTGCTGGGGCTATTCCAAAAATAAACTGGTGAGGTTTAAATTACCACAAACTTACAATACCATCTATGATGATGCATTAAGAATTTTCCAGTGAATGAAAAGTATATTTTTATAGTTCACTTCCCCTTCTCCTGACAGAAATAAAAGCCTCTGAGCAAGCTGCAGGGAGTGACCAATTGCCGGAGTGACTCCAGCCCTGTGGAAGAATGCCCTTATTCTTCTCAAAAAGTGTCAGCTCTCTGCAGTCATTTTCTTCTCTGGTTTCGTTCTTTACAAGATCAAGGAATACATGAAACTAATAATGAATGTGAGGTTCTTATTTGGCAGTCTAGACTATATACTTCAATTGCAAATGTACGAATTCTGTACTGTTTAAGTCTACTGCCATGACGTCATTTCAAGGGCTATAAAACTGTGAACATTAAATTTGCGTCCAGCAGTGGCAACTGATGATGCGATTCAAATGTACATTCACGTGCGTGCCGCTGCGACAGCAGCTCCTCGGAGCTACCTGCGTACGCTCGTACTCACCAGCACACAGATTCCCATGGTGATAGGGACAAGAAAAATCATCTTTTTCACAGTATTTTCCATAAACTTTTCCGAGCTTAGTTTTGTGACATAGGCACTCTCCACAAATGCAAACTCCTCGGCCACTGCACACAGGTTGGTCCTTCTGCAACTTGCAGCTTTCCGACAGAAATCCATCTTCTTCCAAGTGACAGCGACTCTCGTCACACTGCCAGCACTTGGAGTCGAGGGAGGTGTCATCTACACAGCGCCCCTGCGGCCTTCTGCGGTCCTCACACTGACAGCTGCAGCTTCTGTGTATGTGAATTTTAGTGGTTTCATTGAAACCAATCGGCTTGATTATTGCATAATTTTTTCCTCTTGTGACATCACAGTTTTTCATTGTAACTGTTACATTGAAAAGAACCTAAATTTCAGAAGAAAAAGGAAATCTATTGGCGTCTTTTTTTATTGACTATTTTATACCTGTCAATAACATTTGAATCCATATGATATGCATCTTAGAGAAATTAACAGTATTTGTAAATAGATATTTAGTCTTTTTCATATGTAGATAAATATTTCTCTTTATCATTTATTTATTTTGGAAAATTAAAAAAAATCTTTTTTATTTGGTACAAGGTCTTGCTGTGTAGCTCAGACTCCCCAGTGCTGGGATTATAGGTATGTGCCACCATACTCAGTTTTTGGTGGCTGTCTTGGAGCAGGGCCAGCAAGGCATGTGGTGCCAGGGATTGCATTTGAGTCCTTGCACTTACCAGGCTGCCAAGCCATCTCCCTAGCCTCAGAATTTTTTATTTAGATAATTTAAAAAGGAATAATTGCTTAAAATATATTATTTAACAGAACTGAATGTACCTATAGAAGTGTCTACTCCACTTTTTATGATTAATTTCTTAGAAAACTTGACAAAGGACATATCACTTTCTAGATCGAGCTCTGAAAATTCAATGTTCCTGGATATTTGGTACTAGGGATGGATAAACCAAAGCAAAGGCCTTCTGCTCTACAAGTTTTAAACCCTGAGATATTCAAATGCAATTTTTCTTTTTCCCGCTAGAGCTCCAAGTAAAGTCTCAGAGTTAAACTTTATATATGTTGTCAGTGGAAGAACAACACAAGGTTTTCTCTTGTGTTATTGCTCAAGGAAACAGGCTGGGGACTCCTTTTCAAGTCTTGAGACTTCTCCCAGAGTTACACCTTTACCTCAGCTGGAGATATTTGTCCGGAACTGTAGAACCAGGCTGGCAGAAATTGGTTTTATTCTTCTGTCATTTTTTAATTGTTTTTCTCTATTTCTCTTTTTTCCAAAATAAGATTGATTTAATATGTCTATTTTAGTTTTTGGTCTACCTTAACATCTTCAGGTCCTCTAGGAAATGTGTGTGTGTGTGTGTGTGTGTGTGTGTGTGTGCGCGCGTGTGTGTGTATCTTCATGTTGGACTGAAATTTGTCACAATTAGTGCTGAGTTTTTTGGTTGAGAATTATATGTAGCATGATACAAAATATCTAAATTTAAGTTTTTCTATACATTAGAATTTTTAAAAATGTATATGGTTGTTACAGGGTCTCACTACACAGCTCTAACTCGTAATGATCCTCCTACTTTCAGCCTCCCCAGTGCTGGGATTATAGGCATGCGCTACTACGCTCAGACTCTGGCCAGCACAACCCACCTTGGGGGTGGGGCTGGTGTGGCATGTGGTTCCAGGGATTGAACCGTGGTCCCTGTGCTTGCCTAAGAAGGCGCTTTAGTCTGCTGAGCTATCTAGCCAGCCCCTAAGCATTAGAAATCTGAATCATTACTATAATAATAGAATACATTTGGAGTTGGTGCTTTATTTTAAATGCTTTCATTTTTAAGAATAGTAGAGCTGGGCATGGCGATGCATGCCTGTAATCCCAGCACTTGGGAGGCTGAGGTAGGAGGATCATGTGAATTTGAGGCCCGCCTGGACTGTGTAGTGAATTCAGGGCCAACCTGGACGATATGCGGAGGCCCTGTCTCAAAACAACCACAACAATAACAACAAATTAGCAGATGTGCAGCATAACGCTGTCAGTGCCCTTACTGAGAGTTCAGCAGCACTTGGGCTTGGTATAATTAAGAGGTCGGGTGACTATTCTGAAAACCAAATCATTTATAATATTTGCTGGGATCTAAAGAGGGAAAAGGAAGCAGGCAAAGAAAACAAACAAAAAGCCTGTAAGAAGCAAGGAAAACTTCTAATTTTGAGATTTTGTGAGTTATTTAATTTTCCAGAAAATAAGTTACTTTTCACCAGAAAAAAATTTTTCTCTCAAGTTAATGAGAATTAAATGTTTTGTAAACTGGCATATGTCTTTTCAATAAAATACAAGGGATTATTATAAATGAAATTAGAGAATTAGAAACTTGTGATAATTAATTTAAATTACAAATTTGTAGGCTCAATCACACCACCCACAGGTTCCAAAATTCAAGAGGAGAAAAATACACTCTAAAGAGAAAGAAAAGTCTATTTTTATTAATTTTGGCATCTCAGAATATTCTATCTCTTTGACTAAAGTTTTCTCTTTACTATGACACTGAAGTAATTAATAGAACAGTAAATTAGAACAGATAGTAGAAACCATCTAGTCCAAGCTATTCATTTAATAATGAGACAACTGATATCTCAGAGGCTGAATAGCTAAGTAAAAACCGCTTCACTCTGTGAGGATTTCCTCCGAACGTATTTTCTGTTCTCTCTTGTGCCAGTGCTTAGACGATCCCTCTCCTCGTCCTGTTTCCTGATGCTTCTATCGTCCGGATTTCACATTCTATCTCATCCATCTTTAGGTTAAATGCTGCTCTTTATTGTTCCCTCTCTCACATTGAATATATTGAGACAATCTCAAAGTGGAAGGATTTAGCCTTCTTAGCCTTTCTAACCATCCGGTGTATTGCTTTCAACCTCACCTTTACTGGGAGACTGTGCGGTTCGCAACTAACAAGGTGTAAACCTCGCTACAACTATAGCCATCACTTGATTGTACAGACGAGCTTTCCTTGTCTGTACCCGTTGTGACACCAACGTATGAGGCTACTGCTAAGTGTTTAATGTAGCGCATGCTTCTTTAATGTGAAAGTTTGAGAGTAGTTGTTTGAATGAGAACAAGGAGAGACAATAATTTTCAGTTTGAAGTGTGTTCTTGGGAGGAGCCTGTAGTTTTTCAGAATGGTTTGGTGCTCTGTGAGAAAGCATGCCCCAGGACGAGTGCATCTTCCGTGAGGAGGCTGCGAGGCTACGTACCTCGTCGTTGCTTGTCACGCTTCCACAGCCATCCATGCCTGGCTTCCGGGCCCCATCTGGACAGATGGCAGTTATGTTAAAATAGACGCCTTGTACCTGGTTTTCCACTTGAATTTTCACTTCTGAAATAAGCTTCTGTAAAGACATCAGTTTTGACTTACTTAGTGCAGTTGTGTCAGGTGTGAGCAACAAAGCAGAGTCAGGCTTAGCAAATCATTCTAGATTTAATTTTTAACCAAATCAGAATGTGTTCGTATAAAAAGATGAATAAAATGAACCAATTATATTTGAAATATGTAAGAAATACCGATGGATGAGATATCTGTATTTCAATTTCCTATTTGTACAGACATATCCAGGACTGCTTTTTGATTATTTCAGTTATTTCTCACTCAGTTAGACTCACAAAAATGCAATACCATTTGTATTTTTTTTTATGGGGGATCAAACTCAGGACCTTGCACTTTCCAGGCAGGCACTTACATCACTGAGCTATCTCCCCGGCCCTCCATTTGTATTTTGATAAAGTTTAAACAACACCATGAGAGTACATACCATAAAGGGTGGATTTTGACTGTTTGCTTCTGACATTTAAGATTAAAAATTTTAATTTCAAGCACTCTGAGTATCCTGAATGGCTTCCTGTTACAGAATTGAAAGGCACTTCTTGGGGAGCACATTTTTATATTAAACCTACAAGAATTCTCTGACACATATGGCCCTAATGGCTCTCCAACAAATGGTCTAGAATTCTTTTCAAGTCTCCAGGCCCTTGCTTGTGTCAATTAAGTTAGTTTCAAGACTTAATTCTAAAGTAGAGCCTTTTACTGGGAAGGAAACCACCATTCAGTCATTTACTTATTTAAACATCATTAAGTAAACATCCACTTAATGCCCGTCCTGTATTAGGGCACCCACTAATTTCTTCTCTCACAATTTCTGACTTCCAAAGGTCCCAGCTTCCTTAAACACTGCTGTGGGTGCAGTGTGTCCTATAAAGCTAGGGGTCTACCTCAGATAAAACCCCACATCTTAGACTGGTAAAAACAAAAGAAGGGAAAGCATATATATATATATATATACACACACATTCTACCTCTATATATATCTATATCTAAGAGTGACATGTACAAAGTAAACAATTTCTAATGGCTTTCATTTTTTTACTTTAATAAGTTTCTTTCTTAATTTTTCTGTATTTAGGACAGGGTCTACAGGGTCTAAAGGGTCTCACTATGTAGATCAGACTCATATTGATTCTCCTGTTTTCAGCCTCCCAAGTGCTGGGATTACAGGCATGTGCCACCACGCCCAGTCTCCGTCACCAACTCAGCACGCCCCATGGGCGGGGCCGGCACTGCACGCCAGGGCCAGGGATGGAACCCCAGCTGCTGCGCTCTGCCTAGGCAGGTGCTTTAGTATGCTGAGCTATCAGGCCAAACCTTAGTAATTTTATTTCTTAAAAATTGTGTTTTCTAACCTGGAAAGCTCATACACTGCAATTATTAATTAAGTTTAGTAAGCCAATAGACATTGCCAGTGGCATATAATGTTGGTGGGCAATAGTTTGAAAGGTCAGAAGAAAATGCTAAATATAGTAAGTGTTCTCTGCTTGTTTTTGTGAAATTTAGTTTCTCTTAAGACTTTAAGGCTGTTAAGCCAATGTTTTTTAAAGCTGTGTGTGAACACAAATGTCTAAATTTCTAAACCTTTTTTCCCTCAGTTTTGGGATATAGAAACTGAACTCCTTACACAATCTTAAGCTTCCCTTTATGAGACAGATTCTTATTTTCCCCTGATGTGTGATTCTTCAATGAATTGGGGATTGTTTCAGTGGGACCATGGAAACAAGACGAATTTTAGAAGAATCAAAAAATGTAGACATATAAAAATAATAGCAGAATCTCGATGTAAGGAAGTTAGTTAGGGTAAACTTTTTAAAAAATATAATAGAATTTTTCCATTGCAAAGGTAATCAGAACCATCGTGGGTTACCACACCCCACATTTCTAAAGAAATGGACGTGAAACTGTAACTGATGTCTCCGTTGGTACGGTGACAACACAGGTCACTGTATGTGCTTTGAGGCATACAAACACAGGGTGATGCCTAGTTGTATAGGTCTCTTCC